ATGCATCGAGGCATAGGTCGTAATTTTCTCAGCAAATTTATTGAATTTCTGTATTTTAAGATCAGGCGTTTACGAGAGATTTTCTGTTTGTTCAATCTAAAGAGCTTATTAGAACTCGTCATTTATTGATTTTGACGTTAATGAATGTGAGGGAAGATAAAATGACTTATCAATTTGGACTTAAAATTATTTTAGTTTTGTGCGTTCCTGTATTATTTCGAATAATTAGCAGGGCAAAACGGGAATATATTTTGTTCGATGTAGTGAAGCGGGTGGTACAGCTTAACAACTACAAACACGATATTCGAAATTTAAAAAAGAGTTTCTCTTATTAATTTCGTCGAATTAGAACAAGAGACTCACAATCCATCAAAGAACGCGACTTATTTTATAATTTCAGATTTATTTCAAGATAAAGTCTAAATCAAGAATTCATCTTTTTGGAAAATGAAAGCGAATTAGGTAAAATTTTCCACCCAGTATTATTTTACGAGTCCAGCTTTTGGTGCAAAGAGCCCAAACAGGAAGAAAGCAGTTCATTTCTAATATTAATATTCATCTTGGCTTGAAACCGACAGTTTCTATCGTAACCATAGCTACCAGACAGTAATAATTTGACTTTCATTCCATGATATAAATTGAATATCCACTCTTAACTTCTTTATTTCTGTGTGGCTGAAATAAAACGAAAATGAAAAATACCGAGCTTTCAAATGTGGGTATAACAAACTTTTGGCGAAAAAACAGCTTTAGCTATTTGAAATGAACAAGATCATTGTCCTTAATTTTAGTTTCCTACAACGGGTTTACTTCTTTAACCTTTTTTCAGCGATATTTTTTTATGTTTATAATGACACCCCTTGTAGAAATTGTAGTTCCCTCATTACCGCAAATAGAGAAAAGTGCCAAATTATAAAAAGTCAATGCTAGCGGTTCCAAGCTCATCACAAATTGTGAAACTCGAAACGAGAGGAAATTTCATAAAGTGATGAGAGAGGTATTAATGCGGTGACGAAGCCCGCTGTTTGGGTTCAATTTACGGTAAAGAAAAATAGAGTCGATGACAAAAATCTTCTTCATTTGAAATATCTAACTTGCCAAAAATTGCAGTTGTTTTTTTCTGTACTTAGAAATATTTTTTTCCTTCACAGATTGTTTTGTGTTATCCCTCAACTTAGACTAATATGCAGCTCGTTTGAATTCCGTTCATATTATGACAAAAGTGATGATTTTGAACAAGAAGAACCTCGAAAATTATGGAAGTTGATTTACATGGCTTCCCATAAGAAAAATAAGTCTGGAACCAAATGTTGGCCCACATGTCTCTTTAACCTTAAGTCTGCAACAATTTTATCTAACGGAGGAAAACCTAAAAATGTCATAAAATTCAAAAGGTCTTCCAATGAAGGCCTTGGAAGCCAGATCCGATACTGGATGGTTTGGATGAATCCAATCATAAATTACGGTACACCTTTTCCAAACATCAATTTGCTATTATCTTTAAGATGAAGATGGCGCTTAAAACAACATTCAGAGCGTCGTCTCACTAATGTTCTGGATTAAGTATCGCAGCTGTCTACTCTGGATCGTGCTCATTTGTTATTAGTTGTCTGAGGGATTCTGCTTCGACAGTCTTTATTCAATCCTGATGTATCGAGACAAAGGTCGTGAGTTGCTCAGAAAATTTATGTTGTTTAATATCCACCTTCTTCGAGAGATTTATTGTTTGTTTAAACTAAAGAGGTTATTAGAACCCATCATTAATCAATCTTGACATTAATGAATTTCGGGGAAGATAAATTGGCTAATTACTTGGGACTTCAATTATTGTGTTCCTGTATTATTTAGAGTAAGTAGGAGGGCCAAACGACAAAATATTTTGCTCGATGTAGTACAGAGGGTGGTACAGCATAACAACTACAAACACGACATTCGAAATTCAAAAAGGAATTTCACTTAACTTATTCATCTCGGCGAATTAGAACAAAAGACTCACAATCCATTAAAGAACGTGGCTTATTTTGTACTTTCAGACATATTTCAAGATATAGTCTTAATTAAGAGTTCGTGTTTTTGGAAAATGAAAGCTAACCGTGCGAGTGCAGGGCTAGCGTTTTTTTTGGCGGATAAGGTTACGCCAGCCTGTCTGCTCCTACACACCGATTACCATTATCCGCAGGATTTCGTGAGCGGGACTTTCGGTACATAAGATCTATTTTTATTACCATATTTTTGTGAGAATTTTCTTTTCGTCAATTATTGACGCTTCAATTAAAAATTAAAAAAAGAAACGCTGAATCTATGGATCGATCTTGCAAATTGAATGGTGTTGCTTCTCAGAAACTAGAGGGAACTTGGGTTTTTATTTGACTGCATTATCGGAGTATGTTCACTTAATGTTCTTAAGAATATGTTTATAATGTTATTGTCTTAAACGCACTCCATTGACTATAATTATGAAGCAACTGAGGTTAATGTCATGGAAATTTGTGTTAAAAAAGTCCTTTTTTCCTAATCTGTTGATGAACACCGATAGAGTCGTAGCCCCTCAATACCAAAGTCTTTCTAAATAGCACAAAGGAAGACATTGGAAACGTGTTCGTTCGTAGTCTTTAAAACGCGTACCCACGCATATTATTGGCAGGGGCAGGACAGACGGCTGTTAACTTTGTTAACATCCCAATTTCAATACTAAGAGGCCGGTTTCTATCAATAAATCCATTTTTAAATGCAGGTGGTCGACACCAAGTTTGTGGCATACTGAAAGCATCAATATTGAGCTCCGTTGTCTTGAGAAAGCATGGAATTTTCAACGTTTCTAATATTTGCAGTCTGGACTTCAGCGATGACTTACTTGACGTTTGGTAAAGGTGAGTTGCAAAATGCGAATCATTTTGTATCCCTATTTTCATACTTCAGTCCGTGTTATTATATTTTCCATCACTCTTTATTTCTATTTCGCTGATTCACAACAGTTGATGCATTGAGCTTATAACGTGTGGTTATGACAAAACTAAAAATCTGCATTGAACAAACATGATTTTTAAAGAAAGGAAGCTCAGTCTTGCACACTTCTTTCGTAGATATTAATAGTATTTAGCAAAGGAGTGTTATTATGATGGGCCATATCGGAAATTTCCAGTTGTTATAAAAAAAACTAAGAACTACTACGATGAAGAATTGCTTCATGCAAAATCCCTTCAATCCTAAGGCTCAGCTCATATTTATATGGAAGGGTAATCAATTCTATCAGAAACATTTCGTTGTTGTTGAGCAGACGGGAATTCGATAATTTGGACGAAAGAAAAATTGGCGGCTCTCGTCAAATTGGTTTTATAGGAGAAAAATGCTGGCATTTGGAATAGACCACGTTTTCTGATTTAAAAAAAAAATGTTTTTGAGAATAGGGTAGCCCGTATCATAGGTTTTAACCATTTTTGTGGAATTGAAAAACCCCTTGACGCAAAATCCTTTTAAGTATTACTTTTTGAAGTGGAGGCTTTAAAACTTGCCAAGTTTTTTGAACAAGCTTCGTGTAATTTTCCAATTTTGTGTTCTTTCAAAATTAATCTCACTGCAAGGATACCTTAACTGATTTTTTTTTTCAAATATATATTATTCAGAATTATTAAGACTCTTTTGCTGTGATCAATATTTTTTAACAGTGGAAAAATGTGTGGGTGGACTTTATTCGACATGAGGAAAATAATGAATGCATAAAAAAGATAAGTAGATAGATGAGTTATTTTTAGAGAACAAATGACGGAAATAAAGAGATGATTATGTTCACCATAGCTAAGCAATTCTAACAGCCTACGTTGGCTTGCAAAGGTAAAAATTTTTAAAAAATTCATTCTAGATTTGTGCGTTTAGAAAACTTTGAAAAAACTAATATAACTCTACTCACTGACGCAAGACAAGAATGATTTTTTTCGGCTTAAATTTGCACGAATGTCCACTGTTGGCTATAACAGTTTGAAGTAAAGAGCCCCAAGGAACCATTCAGTTACACATCTCTTTAATAAACACTCGATATTCAAGCACCTGTTTATATAAAGAAAAAAAAATACCCTTGAAGGGCATCCCTGGTCAAACTTTTTGAGATATAAAAGGTTCCATACAAGAGAACTCAAATTAAGTTCATTGTACTGATGACAAAGATATTAAAGAAGCAAACACTAATTTACTCCCTTTGTAGTAAGAATTTCACAGAGTCTTTGATGAATTCGTTTTTTGATAGACAGTATGATAGACTCAGCTGAAATCGTTGCCAACTTCATGTGAACACAAAAAATTTTCTGTCAAGGTTCCGTACCTCAGAAACAATCAAATTCTCAAATTTGGGTAGTTTTATGTTGTCGTTTTTAATTATGGAAAACGGCGAAGCAATTTATAAAGTTTTAAGGTACATTTAACGAATCATAGTTCTTCTCATCAAATTTTTTGTTTGATAACGTTCTCGAAGTATTTGCCACCATACTTTTTTGAGATCCGATAATTTTTTAAACTCGAAATCTATTTTATTTGCGACGGAAAAGTATGCGTTATAGTTATATTTCAATTTGTCTGTTATAGAGCGAGAGCGCGCAATGGTGTTTCCAGACTATTACTTCTTTGCTGAAAGACGTTTGATAAACCATACTATCGAAACAAGAAAAGTCAAGAACTTTGATGATTGTGAGCTTTTGTGCTACCTGAACGACAATTGTGTCAGTCTTAACTTCAAAAAAGATCCTGACAATAATGAAGCAGTTCACATCTGTGAACTAAATAACGCCACGCATCTGAAATATGACAATGACTTGACAACTGATGCCAAGTTTTACTATCGTGGCTCGAAGGTGAGTTACAAATCGATTTTTTTGAAATTATCGCCTTGGAATAATATAGAAACAATTATGAATGTTTTGCAAATTTTCGTGTATTCGATCATTCGTTTTTTATCATTCGGTATTTATCCCTTCATCTTTCTTTCGTCATTTAATTTTTTTCTCCCTCAGAACGCTTGTGACAAGAGTTCCCAGTGCCAAAATAACGCAACTTGCCAGTCTGGATTTACACTCAAGGGATATCGATGCTTGTGTCCTCCTGGATTCGAGGGAGAACTTTGTGAAACAGGTATAAGTCTTAGTCAACACTTGAAATGACGTATATGTGAGATTTTGTCAGATTTTCAATGCTGGTATGACAATTGTCCTTGACTGAGAAAAGAAACCTTAATTTGGTTCTTCTGTTGCTACTTTCCGGCTCGCTTGTTCCGAAATTTCACTTTCCGTTCACGAAAAAAAACCTTGAGAGATGTCCGGGAAATGGTCACACATAGTACAATTTGGCAGGTAGCGTGACAGCTTTGGCTGAGCTTCATGCTTGTACTCTGATAGAGCGCTCGTTCAACTAATGACAGCTATCCGAACTTTATTATAATCAGTATTGGATGATTGTTTTCCACCGCCTTAAATCATGTTACGTGGCCCTTTAATCGTGTTTCTTTGTTTTCAATTAGTATCTTCGATCCTTTTTTGGTCTTTCTGCCTTTGAATAGACCTCGCAATAATAATAGACGGCGGTGTGAAACGAAATCGCCAGTTTTACTTTAAACCTTAGAGCTAAAAGGTAAAAATGCCCGGCGCAAATGTGTTAAACGAAAAAATTAAGATTATTGGGGACAATTCCCAGAGAGATTTTTTGACGCGTAGTTGTAGAGCACAACGCTTTAATCCAAATCATCTCATGCTTGTGCACAACCTTCAAATACAGGCATTTCCACTATTTGTGACATTTGTGTTGCCTCGAATTGATCTACGCCCATGGTAAAAACTGAACAAAGAAAACCTAAATTAACAACACTTTGGGTTTAAAGGAGATTTTAAACCTCATACTTACATATTATATGCTATAAACAGTGGGGAAAGCATAAAACTGCAACAAACGAACATAGCATTCGCAGTCCCCGACACGAAACTACTCTGGACAAAACCATGTGCTATTAAGCCACGGGACCTAATCAATATCAGTTCGCATTTCTTTCATTCGGCCGCTAGTCGGCCCCAACAAGAATGAAGGGGAAATTTAATGACTGTATAATTTCAAACAAAATGTTAGCAATCGGCGACATAATTTTTATTGACTACTCGTTGAAATAGAAAAAAAACCTTGCATGTAATTAATGCGTGTTCTCCATAATAAGAACTTGAAAATTTATTTATATCCTTTTGTTTCTCACTATCAGGATGGCTGACTCTTTATCGCTTCAGGATGTCGCTGATATCCGATTTTTTAAAGAAAATAATTTTTTTTTGTAATAAAAATTAGTGTTAAAAGACTACGAATGTTAAATCTTGTGACATTAAGTTTCATTCATCTTGTAATGAGGGCGGTGATATGTCCCCTTTAAAACAGTTAGAAATCGGTGATCGAAATTCGCGGGAGACACTGTACTCTAGCGTCCGAATTTTGGCGCTAAACAATTTTTGAAATTGTTAGATTTTCCATGACGCCAAACCAACCAACGATAACGCGCACCCGTTGGGAAAAAAATTGCTCTTGTGCAACAACACATTTTGTATCAAATATCTTATTTTGCACTGTGAAGCACCACATTTTCAGACATCGACGACTACAAAATGGATCTCTGTATTCAATAACAAAATACTATTATTTCTCCGAACGTTGACGATTTTGTTTCATAATTAGAAACTGAAATTGTTTACATTGTCTTATTATTCTTACTTTACTTTTGTTACTATACTTTTCATTACATCACTTCGTTGACGTCCGATTTTTTAGGAAACACTTTTCTCTCTAGTATTATTATCATCGGTGTTCAAAGATTACGAGTACGAAATTTTGTGACAGTTTTCTCTATCTTCCACTGACATTCTTTGTAGTTTGATTTTGACGCAATATGTATGTTCTCTTTCAGACATTGACGAATGCTCTGAAGTTCATGCCGTTAAAATGAACAAATGTCATCCGAATGCATCTTGCACTAATAGTCAGGGCTCATACAACTGTTTCTGTAATCCTAAACACATTGGGGATGGTTTTGAGTGTAAAGGTGCGTTTAGTATCTGCCATGCCATCAAATAAGTTATGGTTGCTATAGGCTAGATATATTGCAGCTTGGTTGTATATAAACTGCGTTAGCTGCACCTTTAGTTTTCATGCCAAAGGACAAAATATCAAGAATCCGTAAACGGAAACGTAGAAGAAATATGTGAAACCGTTGCGGAAACACGACAGTTAACACGCGTTTCCGCTGTTGGTTGGTGATGTTTACTCGTGTTTCCGCTGCGGTCACAGCGGAAGCGTACCACTTTTTTACATGTTTCCGTCATGTTTCAGTTGAAGGAAACAAATGTTTCCGCAAGTGTAACTTCATGTTAACATGTGCAGAAACACATGGTAACGTTGCGAAAACATTAATTTTCTATATTTCAGTCGACGTAATCAGACCTAAACGTTCTGGAAACACGTTTTTCTCTTCTTTCCGTTGACGTAATCAGACAAAATGTCGACGGAAATACTAGGTTACTTTCCGGAAACAGATTTTTCCTTTTTTCTGCTGATGTATTCGGACCTACAGGGGACGGAAACACTAGGTTTTGTTCTAGAACACTTTTTTTCTTGTTTCCTTTATATATCGGACTCTTTCATCACTCGTTGTTCTTGACCTTCTTCGTGACAGGAAAGGTAAATATGTTGTGATCGTGTGGTTTTATATAGCCTATACCGGACTTTAACCATCCGTTTGCGAAATCTATGCTTTATTATGTAAAATCACACAAATACAAGGGCTATCTTTTCTTCGCAGCTTCAATCAATTTATTTTATTATTTTCCTTTTCTTCAACCGATCGACCGGTGACAATTTTTATTATTTGAAAAGTACGTATATATTCGCTCGTCGTCCTAGTCATTTGAACATAACACACCTGAAATTCCTTTCTTAACAAATGAACATCAAGAAAAACTTACAGCTGGTATGTATAAAATGTCAAATGTTCTGAAAGTGTAATGAATTAGTCGCTGCGAAGAACCCAACGAGGGCCGTTAGTTGGGTGAGGGCGTGGTGATTCATCCTCCGTCCTCGGTTGATAAGTGCACTTGTGCGACGGTACTTCTCAGTTAGTCCGGCCAAATACGCCTCATCCAGTTTCACTTTAATATTCCTCAGTTTGCTCTTCACCCATGACCTTTCGTGGTCTTGGGCCACTCCTTGGTTCTACTGCTTTTTCTTCGCAGCTTTCCTCCGACGAGGAAGAAGACAATTTCTCGTGCCTTTTTCTTGTCTCCATCAGAAAGCATTGTCGAGTTGTCCAGACAAGACAGTGTCGTCGAGTAAGTTTCTAAAGGGGATAATTGACCGGGACAGGTGAGAATCTTGTCAGAATACTAGTGGGAAGTCAAATCATTGCTAAAGCTTCCATAACTGCTATTTCAGTAAAATAGTTTTAAGGAAAAGCTGACGCTTAAAATTGAAAAAGACACGAAAATCGGCTGCCTCAAGCTCGAGAAGACAACCATATTGACATTGTAGCAGTTACACATCAGCGGAGGATGTTATTAAGCAATTTTTCACATAAAGTCTGGTCTCATACAGGGATTTCCGGCTCTGAGAAAAGCGTTACAACACACGTAAAAAAATATCGTATTTTTTCACGTGTGTTGATATAGCCAATCAGCTGCTGACACGTCACTCGCCTTTGGCGCCACTCGGTCAGGTTGATGAATGAATGGCAAGGTCTTCATTATTCTCAATACAGGTTGTTTGTCGGAGCTTTCTCGAATTATGGCGACTAAAACGCTAAAAAATCCATATTGCTGACAGACTGTGAGTTTTAAATTTTCTCAAAACGGGTAGCAAACCAATATATAAAAAGAAAAACCGAAAGTTACTTATTTAGTGGCTTTGGTGTGAGCATTTCTCTCTGCTGAAAATGAAAACCGACAACTGGAAGATTTGCCACTGGCTGATTTTGGCCGCTTACCTGAAAGTCTTCTTCTGTGTGTACGGACAAAGTCAATAAATGAAAATTTTGTAAATTGAAAATTACGACCATTTTCATATATTCTTAACCGTTATTGTTGTTTTTGTAATCATGATTCAACGCATTTTTCCATCCTAAGAGTTAGCGCCAACGAAAACTCTACGATTGTTATTCGGGGATTGTCGACTCATTTATTTTCGTTCATTCATGAAGTCGGCTTTTCTTCTTAGTAAAGGGCTATTGTGTTTACATGATAAACAAAATAATGCATGGTTGCTTGTAGATATGGAATTTCTCTTCTCGTGTTCAACTCGACATGTCACTCGTTCGCCGCGCTCACTCGCTAGCTATCGAGTTAAACACTTGAAGAGAAATTCCATATATACGCGGCCATGTTTTATTCTGTATTTAACACACACGCATATTTGTTACCAAGAGAAAATAATAATATTATTAATCGTATTTTCCCTTGTTGTTATGGATTTAAGTGACCCGTTCTGAAAAATTAGAGACAAAATAGTTGCTAATCTGGCGTCATATAATTGATGTAAAATACTTACCCTCTTTAAACGATTGCTTTGCTTGATTTGCCGTCGGTGCTTCTCAAAACTGTTGTTTGTTTTCCTTATTTTATCTTCTCTTATGGATCTCGAATGATGATAAACAGCAGCAAATTTAAAATAAATAGAGTATGTTAGTTGACGAGGTATGCTATCAGTGCGAATTGGTAGCAATCACTGCGAGAAAAAGTGGTTGCCACCCAAATGTTATATATTCAGCGATAGGAGCTTACAGCATCGGCAGTTTGAAACTTGATTTGTGTTCGATTATTATTTTCAGTTTCGTTAAAATAATAAAAACCACACACAAAACCATGATCAGTTTGTTTTCATTGCAAAGATTCAACAAGGATATTAAAAATCCGTTTGCAGAAACATAACGGGAACGAACAACAGCGGAAACGTCTTGACTTAATATGACAGATGCATGACTTTCCGATCCGGAAATATGACAGAAACTTGATGGAATCGCCAAGACTTGATATAACACGTTTCCGCAAAACATAAATGTAGCGGAAACATGAACCTCTATGTTTCCGTCACATTTAAGAAATGCAGAAATGTGGGATTTCGTTCTCTGTTGCCGAAAGTTGTTCTTTAGTGCGCTATTGAAGAAAGAGGAAACACAAATTCTGATACTGCTATCCATAGTTAGTAAAATGTAATTTACCATATTAACGGATTTTTTAAGGCTAAACTCGTGTCGTTTGATTTTTCAGTCGATCCTTGCTATGAATACAAAAACCTGAGTGATTTTAAAAGAAAAAGCAGTTACAAAAGTGGCCTTCATGAAGAGTGGTGTGACAAGCGACTCGATGGATGGTATCGTTTTGTGGGAGCTGCAGGAACAAAAATGCCAACAACGAAAGTGGAACCTTTCAGATGTGGTGCAGCCAACTCTGGTTGGCTGCGTGGTACTCATCCTACAGTGGAAGATGGTGAGGTCCTCAAGGAGGTCTACTTTAGTGCTAACAATGAAGACAAGTCATTCCCATTCCAAATTTCTGTGAAGAACTGCTCATCCTACTATGTCTACAAACTACATGAGCTGAAGAGGTGTAATTCGCGCTACTGTGGCACAGACTGAATAGGCAGAGAAGAGTTTTCGTAATAAGAGATTCATAATCGTTGTAATTCTGGGATTTAGCGTTCCGATCTTAAATGTTTTGGTAGATTTCTTCGCTGGTGACGTCTTGTTAATGCTATCATTAAAAATCTTATTTGCAATAAATAAGGACTCATGACAAAGAAAGAACTTATTCCAGTGAACAGACGTATCATTCTCGCAGTATATAGTATCGAAAAGTAAGTTAAGATAGTTTTCAATGCTGTGCAATTCTCAATTATATACATCTCTTGTTAGAACCTTTTGCTGTTACTTCTTTTATTAGAGCGATCAAGAAAACAACCAGGTTTTTTCAGTGCCATATTTATTGACAAAGTTTTGTGTATTTTACAGTTGAAAACGGTAACTGAAGGGTTTACCCTATTGCTCGCCAACTGGTCTTGATAAGGGCGAACACAAAAAAATTGTTTTTCTAATAGAGTAGCATCCATTTGAGCTGAGGAGCTGTAAATACATAAATCCGTCGTTGTCCCATTACTTAAAAAACCATTAGGGCCCAGAAAAGAACCCTTCAAGGGCAAGTGATACATTTTTTGATAATCCTACCATACTTGGAGTCATGTAACAAAATGTTACAAGTAATAAATCTGATATACCTATGTCTCTCAGAGAAAAAAAACTTAAGAAAAGAAGAAACTATTTTAGGTTAAAATCGGCCCCGAGAGAAGGAGATCTTAGTTCAATGTGATTGGAAAGACCATAGTTTATCTCAGTACGACAGTTAACGTTGGAATTTTAGGTTACTATTCACGTAAGTTAAGGATGTAATCTCTAAAAGTGTTGTTGCGATAAAAAATAGTTAAATATGTGAATGAATAAAAGATAAAATGGAACATTTTGCACTCTTTCTCTCAATAACAATGTATTTGCATGTATACAGCAAGCAAACGACTATGCTAAATTCAAAGAGCAAATGGCGTTGCATGTTTTGCAAACTGTGTTCACTATTACGACAACTGGGAGCGTGTGTCCCGTCGTAACCAGCTTAACGTGATTACTGTCAGAGGGAAGTTTAATTTTCCATCATGCTTCCATGGCAAATTCTGATCAGTCTCAGTGAAGATACATAAGAACACTAACCGTGGTCTCGCGCGCCGACTCTGACCTTGACTCGCCGATTTGACATGTTGGCTCCCAAAAATAATTACCGAAAGTGCATCGTTCATAAGGCGGAATGAAAACTTTGACCGTCTAAATGAAAGCTTTCCTTGGGGTCGTGCGCCATCGATTGTGCTCACAGTGATATTACTTAAAGTGCACTCCATTTATATTCATGATAAAGGACTTAAATTCATGTTGTTGCAAAGTGAAATGTGTATAAAAAAAGGAAATATTTTCGACAACAAATGGTGACTTCTACCTGACAGAACATAAAACGTCTCAGACATTTGTATTCACAGACATTCAAATTGTGCATGTAGTTGAATCAACAATCTTATCGAGTCTTCACTGACCGTTGCTTAATGATTTATTATAGAATTTATCAAAATGTTGTCACCGAATCTCGTGATTATCACGTGGCGCGTTTTGTGTTAGAGTTTCTTTGATATTTTTTTATCAAAGATTATATTTTTGCACGATAAAAGAAATGTTTATTATAAATAATGAATACTATTGTAATCGACCTTACTATTAATAAGTTAAGAAAACACATTATTGTCATTATTGTTATCATCACTAACATTACTGTTATATATTTTTCCGAGCGAGATCACAAAATACTGTTCCCAGACTACTACTTCTTTGCCGAAAGAAGTTTGGTAAACCATATTATCGAAGAGAAACGCGTCAAGAACTTGGACAACTGTGAGCTTTTGTGCTACCTGAACGACGACTGTGTCAGTCTTAACTTTAAAAAAGATCCTGAAGATAATGAATCAGTTCACATCTGTGAACTAAATAACGCAACGTATCTGAAATATGACAGTGACTTGGACTTGACAACTGATGCCAATTTTTATTATCGTGGCTCGAAGGTGAGTTATAAATCTATTTTTCGAAATTGTCGCAGTGGAATAATATAAAAGCAATAAACAATTAAACGTAAAGTATGTATGTCCTCTTTCAGACATTGACGAATGCAAGGAAGGTCATAATATTAGAATAAACGAATGCCATCCGAATGCCTCCTCATTAATACTCAGGGCTCATACCACTGCTCTTGTAATCCCACATACGTTGGGAATTGTTTTGAATGCAAAGGTACGTTTGGTTTCCTACAAACCTTTTAACTCGTTAAAGCAGTACTGGAACTAGCCTGTTGCTTCTCAAGTGGCCATTGTCGTCCAACTCAAATCCAGATCCGGCTATATTAATTTAGATTTCCATTATGAATGTTTTAACCTCGTCGAATGATTATATCCTACACATGGGCTACTTTATCTCTTACAATAGATACAGGCTCATTGTTCTAGTTCATGACAGGTTTCACTACTAACTGGCAAGCTGCCAGAATCATAAAACGATAGTAAAAATATCTTAAAGCATTAAGCCTAACGACTAAAGTCCTGTTGCAATTATTACTTCACTTTGCAGCTGATCATTGCTATCATTATAAAAACCTGAGTGATGCTCATAGAAAGATAAGTTACGTACCACCTTACGGTTCAGAGTTGTGTGACAGCCAACTCCCTCAGGGATGGTATCGTTTGGTGGGAGCTGCCGGAACAAAAATGCCAACAACGCGTGTGGCGGTATACAGATGTGGTGCAGACTGGTCAGGCTGGTTGGATGATGCTCATCCTACGGTGGAAGATGGTAAAGGAAGGTCTGCTTTAGTGATCGTTCTACCGGTTGCAAATATGCAATCACAATTTCAGTTAAAAGTTGTGGATCCTACTTCATCTAAAAACTTTATCCACCTGCTTGTTACTCACGCTATTGTGGTACAGACTGAATGGGAAGCAAAAAGTTCAATAAATAAGAGGACTCATTAATTGATCCCCAAGTACACGTACTTCAAGGATTTTATTTACGATCATCATTAATTTCTTCTATAGATTTTATACGCTGCTGATGTCCTGTTGTTGCAATCAAATATGCTTTGATTTTCACATTTTACAAAGGATCTCTTTGGTAAAAATAATCACAAATAATCAATACTGCTTAAAGAAAAAAAATGAATAAAATAATAGAAAAGTAAAATGTTTAAATATTGAAATCCTAGACAAGCAAGAACACCAATCAGCATAATAACTAGCAAATATGACGCAACTGTTCTCAAAACGTTAGAAGCTGCAATTCAGGACGCAATATATAGCACACTATGATAATTTTCGCTTCAGTTTATTTTAAAAGTTAGATGCCGCTTTGTCAGCATATCAAACTTTGCCTATTGTTATGGTTTAAATTTTTTAAGACAATGATCCTTTTGTTGGCTGGCCTTAGGGATTTTTCCGTCCGGTTTCGCGAAATTATACTCGAGTCAAATCGGATTCAGTCGGCAAATTGTCACTGATGACATTTTTTCCCAACGGTAGCCTACTTTGGAAATCAAAGACAAACCAACAGGGGGTGGGTCAGTAAATTTCATGAGTACGCCAACTGCTTTGACTAAACTTTTGTCATGCCGCGCGCGCATGTTTCGGCCTTACTCAGCCTCAATGTACTTTACTCTTATTTTAGTCGTCAAGTAAAATAATTAATACTTAGAATACAGCATACATCTGGTAGTCAACGAATATTTTGAATCTCGCGCTCGGAAATTGGCAAAGCGTCGGTTCTTTCAAACCTTTGTTCTAGAAACAATAGAGCCTCTAAGCTGTAAACAATTAAAATGCCCATAAAAGGAAGGTAATCCAGTGCCATTGTCTACCAAAAATTAAACACAAAGTTTGATATGGTGCTTATGATGTGTTCAGTCTGATAGTTGCTTTCAAAACAAAACAAACACGATGACGTAAGGACTAGTGGGAAAGTACTACCTGGTGAGAGGCAGTAAGGTATGGTATTAAAGTTTAACTGTTTTTAGTGCAGTTTCACTCTAAAATGAAAAAGTTTCCAAGCTAAAGAGTTTGAAAGAAATATATTGCCCTGGTTCCAATGCTATGAAACCATTAAGCTAATCATTGCATGGGAAAGAAATCCTAAATGCTATCGTTGAGAATTTTGGGTTTAGGTTAAGATAAGGTTTAAGGGTCAGAAGTTACACACGATTCCCCAGTCAAGTACTTATCTTCTATGTCCGAGAGGAAATTTAAACGCATAGTAAATGAGATAAACACCTATAAGAACTATTTATTCATAAACATTAAAAAAAAATTAACGTAAATTAAAAATTGATCTACTCAGAGGAAACTGAATTTTGTAGGTCAGCTTTTTAAGCTGTGTAAATAGAGCAGAATAGTAAAATCAATCATCATGTTTTAGAGAAATTGTGCAACTCTTAATAAATACATTTATCTTACCTGGAGCAATCTCAACTGAGTGTCGTAAAGTGAACATTAGATGAAATGCAGTGTATGTGATGTAGCAAAGAACTGATAGCGGAAAAAACATGATAAAATTTCCAGCAGGTGCATGAACCAAGCCGGGTGCTGTGACTTTCAAAAGCCTGGAAGCGGATCAGTTCGCTGTGAATGCTTTTACAACTAGTTCCTTATTAATATGTAAGGGCGATATTCTTCACTATTGATATACGTGAGTAATATTGACTAATCATAATCACAAACTAAAGATAATAGAGGAATTGGAATAAGTGATGACTTTTGCCACTCAACTGAATGAGGAGGAGGAGGTATGATTTGAGGTCACTAGTTTGTTTTATTTTCGAGAAAAGATCATTGAGCAGTACTCTGCAATACTTCTTCGACACACAGTTCTATGAATCAGTACAGGAAACCTTGACTTTGCGAATCTAACAAGACACTCTCAGAGATGGCTGTCAGCGTCTGAGAACAAGTGTGGATTATCTAATCTATCTGATTAAATTGCAGGTTTATAAATTACTAGATTAAAAAAGAACTTGCCAGCTATTGCAGCATTGTCATTTTGTCCACGAAAATAACGTGCGTGACAGCCGGTCACGTGCGACCTAAAAGTTTCCCATTTCTCGCGTGATCGTTTTTCATTTATGGCGCGATAATTTTCCATTTAACGCGCGATAATTTCCATTCATCGCGCCAAAATTCGATTTAATCGTGCGACAATTTATTTAACATGTCCTCTATGATCCATTGTATTTTTTTGATAACTGCTAAATTTCAATTGATAAAGACGTTTTGCTGTTAAATAGGCGTTCACAACTTTTAAGCATTTAAGAATTCGCAAGAACAAACTGTGACGTAATTAAGAACCCAACATGGCTAGCTCACACCAATAAAACTGAGGTTTATTACAGTAACCACAGAACGTAGCCCCTAGTAGGAGTAGCCCCTATACATCATTTAATCATTACAGTTGACTTCTTCAATCCTTAGTTGTCCTTTTATTTTATATTGCTCAAAAATGTGCATCCGCTGTTGAGGTCTAGTCAGTATCCTGTACTGCTGAAATGGCGTGAGTAATTCCACATGCTAACTTTTGATTTCGCCTATGTTTTTCTTTTTTCTTATTGTAACACTATTAACAAAATGCAATTGAAAGCTCTCTTAATGATGTCTCAGATAAATAAATTTTCAGATATACTGTAAGCTAGGAAAAAAATCCACTTACCAACGCATTCGTAAACTTGCTGTTTCCAGAGCCGAGTGACTTTGCCCAAATTTTATCGCACCTTACATTCCCATCCATCTTTCCAGAACGGCGAAGCATTAAAACATCTTTATGGGCTAAAAACAATTGGTCTCAAAGCTAGCCGAAGTAAATGCGTACAACGGACCTTTCAATTACGCTTTGTTTGATTTCCTTAGCATTTAACTCACCAGGAGATGTTTACTATGTGACAGGTTTTTGCTCAATTGAAGCACAAATATTTGGGGTCTACCATGAAAAATATTGAAAACGGTAGAACCATTCTTTCGATATATAATCTCTTTTGAAAACAATATACCAGCCATTGGATTATTTTAAAAAGACTGCGTGCAACAACTGTCATAAGACCACATGATATGCATGTCGTTAACGATGATCGTCACAGAAGAGCATAGAAATACGCAATCGTGATATTGTCTTTTGTAGACTGGAAATGGGAAATTGTGTAAATTTCCTGTTGGGGCGTATGTTAATTTCATTGTGCTGACCCATGAGGGTTGTAAAAACTAACATCTATTTCTGAACGAACTTACAAGTTCGCGAGCCCAAAGCGTATTAGTAACCACAGCAACAACTTGGTGCGGTACCTTAAAACGAATCGGTGAGTGCTCGATTCCTCTGGTAAGACACGCTGTATGGGTGTCCGTGCCAAAATCGACAGAGTATAAAAACTAAAAGCTCTCTAGAGATAATTAAAACAATTGGATACATTCTTCGTTTGTAAAATATTATAACAATAAGCTAATTTTTGGCAGGAATATTTGATTTCTTCGCATTTAATTCTAGTCCTAATTATAGAAGTTACGTAAAATTTTTCAACCAGATAAGTCGTATCCTTTTTTCCTTGTTGCAAAAATGTACACTTAGAAAAAATTCTTGAAAGCCACCATACTGATATGTATTTTTCAACGTTTGATCCACTTTACGGAATTGTGATATAAACTAATTACGTAACAAAGATTATTTCCTGCACTTAGCTGTTTGTATAAGCAATAGACCGCACTTTCTATCGGTTTACCAGCGTAAAAATACATGCAGGATTTTGGGAGAACACGAAAAAATTATGTTAATCACAAGCTGGAGGCGAGTGAATTAAAAGCTTTCCTCATATTCTTCCAACATCTCAAATGTGTTATTACGCTCGTTATCCAAAGGGGAGTGCAGCCTCTTGCTTTTATGAAATAAACTTAAAACCAAACCTAGTCTGTTCAAATTTTTCACGGGTTTAGCGATGCAGTAAACGATCAGTTTTTAACATATAGAGCTTGTAGGATCTAAGTTATTTTGTAATGATATCATGATTTAACGATGAAATAGTATTTCAGTTTTGCTTGCACAAGATGTTATGGCAAACGTGTCACTAACCCCTTGGAAATCTGGGAAGGTGGATATAATCCAAGAGTGCTTGGGTGGTTCGATCGAGTCCCTAAACTGAAATGAAAAACGTGTAAGCAAGCGCGCTTTCTGATAAAGAACTTATTTGGACATGGTGGATGTTACAATGACTTAAAACCGAAATTGGTCCAAAGGCTCGAAACAACCAATAATGACCCCATAGAACATTTAACTTTTCCGAAGACCAAACTGTCCGCCTCATCGGACATTTATGCACACTTATCTTCAGTAAATCCTGTATTGTACCACGTGATTGCAAACCAAATAAATTTTGACCTTCATATTAAAAGGGAAAAAACATAACACAAAGTCATGCCTTTGAAAGGGGTCTTGACCCAGGTTAGATCTCGTTAGTGGAGTGAGATTGTCTAAATCGCTCCATGTCGGCATTGATTTTCTCGGTAAATATTTCCTCATTCCCTTAAGCAGCTTTAAAGAACAATAAGTCGCTAAAATTTCCGATAAAAAAGAAGTAAATCCGACATTTACGGTAGAGAAAAAGATATGGCGTCCAAAGAGAAACAGACAATCGTTGTCGATCGTGTTCATTCAAAACGTGAAGGTCCAGAGGAACAGCCATCAGAAACCAGAGTCAGACATGTATCGGCAGCTATCAATTGTCTCGCAAGGTGCCGTCGAAAAAGTTTGATAACCATTGTTGCTATCATAGTGTCCATTGCCGTACTTATCGCAGTGGTGTTTTTAGGAAAACATCTTACGCAAAGCCATGACCACAACGAGTTAAGAGGTAATAATTGATTCATCTTGCGCCTTAGCGATTTCGTTCGAAAGTTATTCATGATGAACCAGATGCACAAGTACAAAATAGTTAGAAAGTGGTCGAGACTTCACAGCACCGTTTTCTTTTCCACTTCTTAGGAAGTTAGAATTTAACAATTAATTTTCTGCAGAAACCCAAAACTACTTATGAAGCCCTAGTATTTATCGATCGACATTTGGTATCAGTTATTTCAGTGAAACTAGAGAAGGGAGTGTAGACTGCAGAGACGGAAACAGAATACTTGGTAAAGAACACTGACCGGGTTATACGAGACATGGAAAGCATTCGCGAAAGTTTGATGAGTTTAGTCTCGTAGACTAGCATTTCTTTTTCCTCGAAAATTATTGAAATGAGACATCTGCTTTGCATTTCACTTCTTTTTCCTTTTTCTTTTTCTTTTTTTTTTTTTTTTTTTTTTTACTTTATTTTTTTCTCGGTACAATTCGTCTAGATTTTTTCTGCCGAAATATTCGGCTTAAAGTCGGTCTTTCAAGTCACTCAAGTCTTTGTCTTCTTACCAAAACAGCTTTTAAGATCCCCTCGAACAATGGATAAGATCATTAATGATATGCTCACTAACTTTATTGTCCAACCTTAATAAATCGATGTTTGATATGCCAAGCGTTTAACTGCGGAGCCAATGACTAAAATGGATGGCGTGACTGGTTCTAGAGATCTACAACGTTATTCTTTGATTCAGGATTTCTGGTAATTGTTTGCCGTTATGGGCAATTTTTAAAAATCAATGATGGAAGAAAGATGGTTGGATTTAAAGCCATTGACGTTTTATAGATTAGTGACCACTCTTCTAAACGGATAGTCTCTGGCGTTTGTCACCCTGCAGATACAATCCATTTAGAAACGCTGGCAGCCATCCATAGTTCGAATTCATTGACACTTTCTCAAACACCCTTGAACCATCACCTGGGCAAGTTTCGGCCTCGGTAATCTCCGAACAAATAAACTTATCTAGAACTTGGGACAACCAAGGATTCACAAAACTGACGATTGTACGAATATGCCACCCAAATTCGACTGCACGCAATGTCTAAATCTTGAAAACCCAGAATCAGAGAGTTAATGAGCACATAACTAGATCAGAAAAATATTATCTGGCTTAATCCGTCTTACGGCACGGACAATTAAAAGAAATGTCACGAACTCATAGGATTACATTTGCAATAGATAATCATTTTAACAAATCGCCCCAACTCCAAAAGATTTTCAGCAGGAATAACCTAAAAAGTAAGCTCCGGCTATACACCAAACTGGAGATCACAGTCCAAAAAAATTTAAAGAAAAAAAAACCGAAAGGTCGTGAATGGATCCAACGAAACTTAATCAGCAGTTCCAAAATAGAGTGATTAGTTGATTAAGGTCCTGTGTCCTCTTGATGTTGAGTGTGTGATAAATAACGTCATCTACGAAACCGCTGTTACAATGTCACGTATCAGTATAATATGCTAGCGCCATCTGATCGGTCGAGGTTTGCGTCATATCTCGCTGTAATCACCTCGTACGAGGTAATTATAGCAGGGGTGCTAAATTGCAAAGTGGCTGCCTCGCGTTTTGTTAATGTTTCTGCGGAAGTGGTAAACGTGTTAGAAGAAAATACAATTGCGAAGAGCACAAAATTTGCTATTGAGTTTGACGGAACACTTTTTAAAAGAGAGAAGCTTACAATGATACGCATAATCACCACAATTATAGCAATAATAGCTTTCTTTACAGAATTTACAACAGAATTCGAAAGCTTCTGCGCAATTATACCACAATAATGATTCGCCTCTAGCTCAGTGAACATTATTGTATAATCTTATTCATTTCGCCGTTGGCCAATAATTTTCAAGTAGAAGAAAAGGTAGTAAACCCACGAAGAACTGATTCTTTTGGTGACCAGTTTCAAACAAACCCATTGTTTGGCCATTGTTTTTATGCTGTTCGGTTCTGTATTGTGTTTCGTGTTCTTTTATTTTGTATTATTTTGAATTTGTTTGATCTGTTTTGTTTAAGTTCTGTTGCGTATTTTTTTTTTGTTTTTCTTTGTTTTTTTAAATTTCTTTATTTTTCGCCCAAAGGTCGATACAAGATTGATTTGAACCCCCCTGGAACAGTAAAAGAGTTATGTTTTTCACTCAGAGTTTTTATTTTCACAGCTAACACACAGCAGCAGGTTGAGACTAAAAACATGTAAAATAAAAGTTAAGTTAACTAGGATAAATAAATTACGAACAAAAATAAATACAAAACGAAACAAAAAATTAAAGAAAACTTTTAGAAAGAGAACTGCGCCAAACGCGACTTTACGTAAATTGAATAAGGGGGTAAGTTTCTACAGAAACTGTGGTGCTGCGTCGGTGGGGAATGTTGATAAAGTAAATAGGCCGCCGTAAAGATTTAAAAGCTTACATTTCGAGCGTTAGCCCCTCGCCAGGGGGTTAATGAAGGGTTAACGTTAACGTTCGAAAATTCAGCTTTTGAACTCATTGCGGTGGCCAGTTTAGGTAAACTGGCTTAGAAAAATGATGCATAAAAATGCATAGAAATAGAAGAGGATTGAGTAACTACGTGGGGTATGAAGAACAAAAACGTACAAATAAGACAAATAAGGTGTAACTAAAGAAGGGAAATGACGACAAACTTAACGAAAAATACTAAAAGGAGGTGTGGGAAAAAAAGGAAGTAAATAAATAAATAAATCCAAAATTCCATAAAACATAATTAGCAAGCAATTTAGATCTTACATCCGCCATAAGGCTCTTTAATATTCTTATGAATCTTCAAACCCCCCCCCCCCCCCAACCTCCCCACCCACCCCTCTTCACTAAAAGTTTATCAGTTCTCAGGCAATTTACTGTAGTCACTCCCTCCCCCTTTAAACTCTGTTGGTAATGACTGGTACCCCTCCATTCCCTCATGTCATCCCCCTTCCCCCAGAATCTTCCTCCCGCCTGCCCTTCCAAGTGGTGAACAATGATTGGTCCCTAGTTCTTTGGAAAATCTAGCATAGTTCAGCGAAAAGGCTTATGACTGTGCTCACATAGATATTTTGTGTGACGATACAGCTGTATGATCGTATGATTGAAACTATGGGTGTACGGATTCATGTAAGGTTTATCATGACCAAGGCGATAATTCGAAAGACATCTTACTTTTTCTCGTTGTCTTCAATATTTCTGTTTTCTCTTTCATGGTACAGAAGAAGTCAGGAACGATGGTCAAGATCCAAACAAGGAAGTGGACTGCATTAACACTAATGGCTCTTACAATCGTACCTGTAAGGGTGACTATGTTAGACCCTTTCAGCCATGCAGGGACATGAATGCGAGCTTAGCCAGAACTAATACCTCCCGAAACTGTACAGGTAAGGAAAGATACCTGGGAGACGGTCATGAAAGGAAACTTCAATCATTTTAACTTATATGTAGAATGACATTGCCCGCCAGCGGACTGCTTTCTCCAAAGAACTCAAACAACTAAGGTATAATTATGAGAGTTATAAAATAATATTTTTGCAATTATCATTTAATCTTGTAGTCGACCCATGTGTTAATTACAAAGTCCTGAGTAATGCCGACAGAAGGAGCTCTTACGTCACAGTCTTCAATGAAATGTCATGTGACAGTGGATTCTGGGGATGGTATCGTTTCGTGGGAGCAGCAGGAACAAGAATGCCAGACAAATGCATTCGTCGGCATAGATGTAATACAGTTCTTTCAGGCTGGTTGAATGACGACCATCCTTCAGTGGAAGACGGTGAAATTTCCAGAAGGGTCTGCTTTTCCCAGCTGCCCTATGGCTGTTGCAGATTCATATTGGACATCTCCGTGATCAACTGTGGGTCTTATTACATTTACCGTTTTGTTACACCACCGAAATGTCCAGGGCGCTACTGTAGTACAGACTAAATGTAAAGAAAAAAACTTCTACCGGTACATTTTAACGCTAGTGAAGATCTGCTGCATTGTTTTATTATATAAACTGCGGTGTTTTACAAAGATTTCCAGCCTTGAGGAAAATCGTGATTGCGTACGTGTAAAATTACATTTTTGTGTGAGTTTATTTGATATCGCCAGTCTGCTGCTGACACTCACTCACCTTTCATGACAGTGAAGTTCAAACCTTTTTAAAAACGGAAGAAACCAAAACAAGCTTTCTTCTTTGTTTAACAGTCTCATTATCTGCACACTTAAAGACATTTTTCACGATTTTATTCATATTTTTTTAACTGTTCATGAATAAAGTCGACTTCCATTGTCAGTAAAAGCCTATGTTGTTTATATAATAAACAAAATAATACCTAGCTGCCAAAAAATTTTTTTACTAGTGTTTAACTCGACAACAGAAATTCCAATTGTTTTATTTAGAAGTGTAAAATCTTCTATAATTATTTTTCTCCTTATCCATTTTATGAAAACATTGTTATCGTTTCATTTCTCTCTTATTAAAGCTAGTAGATTTTTCTTTGATCATGAATTCTCTGTGAGTATATTTTCATAAAGCTGCCCGGCATTGGCAACCTAAGGGGCCAGGAAAGAGCTGTTACTTTCGTCTTCATGAAATTTCCATTACTAGTCTTGTTTTTGCTTTGTTGTCGTCTTTATTGTTGTTGTTGTAAGTGTTTTTTTTTTTTTTAACTGTTCCATTATCTGTTTGCTAAATTGAGGGTCACAACTTTTTTAGCTTTTTGGCTATTAAAGGACCTGAGTAAACCACCATTTAAGTCTTTAACTGTCTTTGATTCATCTAAAATCATCAGTGGTTTATTCAGGTTGGTTATTTCAGTGATTTCTCGAAATTTCCTTGTAACAAATTTATTTGAAACTGGTACCGTCCATGGCATCTTGCGTAAGGCTCTTCTAATGTATAATACTTCTTCGGTGTACCAGTGTGTAACTCCCGCTACTGTAGCAAGGAAGCTGACTCTTGCTCTGAAGCAAAGCGCCAATGTAATTTTATTGTAAGAACTAGAATTAAGAAATGTAAAATGGTTTCCGTGTTTAAATAGCCTGATGTAAACACGCGGGAGGTTGGGAGAACACGAGATAAGCGTAGGAAACCACGACGCGAAGCCATTTTACATTTCTTTTATAAAATAACTAATGAAAGAGGAACGAAAACCGTGTTTACATAGGCTCATGTAAAATGGTTTTATGGCCAATCGCGTACTATTATTATTACTATGGAGCGCACGTACTATTTAAATTATTTTATAAAGATATATCGTCAGTGGAAAGGAAAATTACTGAACTGATAACTTCAACATTCATCTCACATGAACTAGTGACAACATCGTCGCTTAATGATGTTGAAGTAAATTCGCCAGTAAATGTCCTCATTCGAAGGACCTTGTAAGTTTAAATTTCTTTCGAAATGAACTAATTATCTTAATCTGCAACAGATAAACTCTTAATGCTAAAGACAGAATTACTTCCATCTTTGCTTTGATTAAGCGAAATTAGAAAAAAGCTTAAAGCAAACTTTTCAAGGAATCTTACATATGAACAAAAAATTGATTGAACGATTTTTTTTTCTTCTCGCGGCGAAAAGACCTTTCATCCGCTTCCCTTTTGATATTTAATGGGCTGTGTCCGTGTTCTTGCGGTTCTGGCACCGAAATAACGGCGTAAGGACGAGGCTAAATGCGAAGGCGCTTCCATCGGTATAAAGAGCAAAGTATTTTGAGCGAATTTCAAAAGTGGGAGAGTAAAAAAAAAAATTGGCGAGAGAGGCATTGGGTGAAGTGGTGGCGGTCAAGGAAAAAAAATGCAGAACTGTTTGATTTATGCAAGAGAGCTGTAGCTATGAAGCAGATCAAAATTGCCTCTCCTGCCAAAGACCGCAAAAAACTGTTGGAGGAGAAATTACGAACAAGTCAGGGCAAGTTTCCATTAACAAAAATTTTAATGCGTGGACGTATTACTTTTCTAACATTCCAGAGGTCTCGTGGCTCACTTGTTTCTCTGTAATTTTCGAAATAGAAATATGGAAAATCTATAGATCTGTAATTTACACCAATAGAATTGCAGAAAACTTAAGGCCGCCAACGGCATGGATGAATCGGTCGGTTCACTACCAGCGTGATTACATACATACACTTGAGAATAATAACAACTTGGGAAAGAACGAAAGGAAAAAATTCCTAGTGTACTTTGCAAAATATTCTGTTAAGAGTTTAAGATGAATAATTCCAATGTGTGACATGACATTTTACTTGAACTAGGAATGTCACGCATTCCTCCTCAACAGGGAAAAATAGAAGCTAATCTCATGCCATTGCCCTTATTTACAACAAAAATATTCAAAGATGGAATGAAATCAGAAAAATGTTCACTGAGTTAGGTTTCAAATGTTATTTTTAGTTAATATTATATGCTAAGTTGTGTTCGCAATTTACGCTAGAGACGAACTAACCGATTTATCTTTCTGGCCCGTGGAGTTTACCGCATGGATTCTACATATTCTATGGATGACGATCTAAGCTGATGTTTGGGAATCGTCCGTGTACATACGGTATACAAAATGGAGTGCTTATGGAAACATCGAAGCTTTTTAAAAGATGAATTTAGGCTAGGCCATCAAACTATGTGCGCGGTGACAAACTCCCTGCACACTATTAGGATATGAATGTCGAATATGACATTTTCGAGTAATGATTAAACTAAATTAAAAACAGACACATTGAAGAATTCTCTCTTGCGCAACATTAAAGAAACAAAGTGTTCCAGAACCTTGCTTTCCACAGGAAGTCGTAGAAAGTTGTAGAAAGTCGATGAAAAGAAAGAATAATTTAACTTTTCTCATTCCCTATCCATGATTTCAGCATATGTATTCTCCGCTGGTATGCAGTTTTTTTACAACTTTATAGCTTGTTATTCGTTGGTTTTTGTGACACGCCGCTAGGCGTATCTCTAAGGATTTTATGATTGGGTAGATTTTAGTATTTAAGGCGTTACAGAGTATTATCACGTCCTTTCGCTCTCGCTTTCCACTGACTATCCTTCATTCATTCCTGGTGTAATACTACATTGATATGACTACGCCACAAGATGGTTACACGTCGTTTGTCTCCAAAGCCCTTTTTTCCGGTCTAAATCCCACGTCTTCTGCCACTGAAGCCTATTTATTCGGTCTAAATTCATCCTCCTCGCAGCCTGAAACCCCGAATTCTCAGTTAATTAACCAAGTGCTCTCTCTTTTCAAGGGGTGCATCACTTCCCAATTAGAGGAAAAAGACAAACAGTTGGAAGAAACCGCCAAAATCGGAAAAAAAAGTTCTGCGATTAAGTTTTTTCGCCTTGTCTCAGTGATTTCTTCGATTAATTTCCAATTAGGCATCGACGAATACAAAGCCGCGGCAGCAATAACGTTTGTAACGAAAATGCAAAGTGCTCCAATACTAAACGACTGTGAATATATGAAAGTCGTCAATTTGAACTGTGGATAAAGACGTGAATACGAAAAAAAAAATTCAGGCCTGTACGGGATTTGAACACATGAACCCTGCAATAAAGGTGCAGCGCTCTACAAACTGAGCTAACAAGCCACCTGGGAGCTAGTCATTATGTTGATTAAAATAAACCCGTGAAGCGGTGAATAAACGACTGTGAATATATAAAAGTCATATATTTGAACTGCGGATAAAGACATGAATATAATAGCGATCTTCGCAGTAATGAACACTGCCTGAGCAGTGGTGAAAAAAAGGCATGAAAAAAGTTCAGGCCTGTGCGGGATTTGGGACCAACACAATGACCAGCTCCCAGTTGGCTTGTAAGCTCGGTTTGTAGAGCGCTGCACCAATATCGCAAAGGTTATAGGTTCAAATCCCGTTCAGGTGTTTTGTGATGACTTACTCCCCTAGTGATGGTATCGTTTTGTGGGAGCTGCAGGAACAAGCCAGTTGTTTCAGAGCCGTCACCTTGATAAACTGAAATATTCGTGGTAAAATATACGTTTCAAAATATCTAATTCGTGACAACCCAAAAAATGATTTTTTTTTCTATAATTAATAATTATTAAAGTAACTACACGACTCAGAGTCCGCCCATTTTAAAGTGACAAACATGGTGAAGTGCAAATATATATATATATATAGTTTCTCAGATATTGACGAATGTAAAGTAATCACTCCTGTCACGTGAATGCTACCTGCACGAACACCAACGGATCCTATGTTTGTGAACGCCACCCTGGATTTAATGAAAAAGGTCAAAACTGCAGAGGTAGATTTAATCTCTTTGCTAAAATATTTAGAAAATTCCTGCTCGAATCTGACCTGAGGCTGCTAATGAGGCCACTATCGGCTATGTTATTAGTTTGTCATATGTAAACGATATTGGTTGTGCCTTAAGTCTGCCTAGAGCTGTTCTTTAATGTGCTGTCTGAGAAAGAAGGAGCTCAAATTCGGATCTTGCTGAATTCATTTGGATCTCCAATATCACTGTTTTAGCCTCTTAGACCCCTTTATTAATGCATAATCATTTTCTTTGTTAAGTGTAAGTCTCACCCCTGATTGGCAAGCTGCCAGAATTTTAAGATGTTAAAAAAATCTTGAAACGTTGATTTTAATAACCTCAGTCCTCTTGCAATTTTCATCTCACTTCGTAGCCGATCTTTGTTATCATCATAAAAACCTGAGTGAAGCCAATAGAAATAGAATTCACGTAACATATCACTGTTCACTGTTGTGTGACGATCAACTCCCTGAGGGATGGTATCGTTTCGTGAGAGCTGCAGGAACAAAAATGCCAACAACACGTGCGCAAGAAAAGGGATGTGGTATCCTATAGTGGAAGAAGGTAACGTTTGCAGGAAGGTCTGCTTTAATAACAGATAAAACGATTGCAAAACCTCAACAGATATTTTTGGAAAAAATTGTGGATCCTACTTTATAAACAAACTTCATCGCCCACCTAGTTGTAACTCACGCTTCTGTGGTACAAAGTGAACGTGAAGCAAAGTACCGTATACTTTGCGAAGTAAAAGGATTCATAAATTGCTCCGTAGGTGCATGTGTATAAGGTTTTTAACATATGACGTATTTAACCTTTCATTTCTATCTTAAATAATGTCAGCAGGTACAGGTTGAATTTGTAGCAAATTTAATCTACGTAATGACAGGACGTATAAATCGATCCGTAAGTACATGCACATCAGGGATTCAACTTGTAACGCACTTCACTTTTATCATGATCACTGACACTGCTGTCAGGTTTTCACACTGTTGACGAAGTGTTCAATCATGCAAATTAAGGGCTTTTA